GACATCATGATGTTAAATGAAATAAGCCAGATTCAAAAAGACAAGTGTCAGCCGGGCATGGTGGCGCACGCTTGTAATCCCAGCACTCGGGAGGCTGAGGCAGGAGGATCACTGTGAGTTCAAGACCAGCCTGGGCTACATAGATCCAGGTCAGTCTCAACCACATAGTGATACCCTGTCTCAAAAATCAAAAAAACAAAATAAACAAAGAAAAAAAGGCGTGTCACATATTTTCCCTAAATCTGTGGAATCTAAAGAAGATGACATGAAAGTAGATGGAAAACTATTAGACAAAAGGAAGGGAATAAGAGAGGTGTATAAGGGAAGACAATGGGTATAGGTAGGATCAAAATTATGCATGTGTAAAGATACAACATTGAATCCAAATATTTTATAAAATTAATAAATATACTTTAAGTAATCTTTAAATTAATCAATGTACTTTAAATAATAAAATGTACTTTAAAATGAAACTTAGAAAAGAACGTTTAGAAAAGAAGATAGTTCTTAGAAGTAGAGAGTTGAACTGATTTCCTCTTAGGGCAGTGCGTTCCCTACTGGTTTGTCTGTTCTGCCTTTGGTAATACTGTTCCCCACCTGTTCTTTAGTAATCCACCCGATATCATGTGAGCTGTTTCTTCTTTCTAGGTTGGTTGCCCATTGTGAAAGACAGACTCTAAGGTGTCCCCATGATTTCCCTCTTGGTACCCACATTCTTTGATCACTCCTCTTGGGTACAGAAAGGACTGTGGCTTGGCTTTAGCTGTCATGCAGCAAAAGTAACAGGATATACATGATCACTTATACACGATTGCCTTTCACAAGGCTGGAAACCATCTTAGTAGGAGATCCTTTCCTGTGGCCTCTTTGGCCAGACATGGATTAGCTGGATACGCTGTTTCACAGTCTTTAAAGGCTGCAATCAAAGTACGGGCTGGGGTTTTAGTTTCATTTAAGGCTCAGTCGGAGTTGGATCTGCTTCCAAGGTTGTGGCTGCAGGCAGCATTTGGTCCCCCGCAGACTGTCAAATTAAGAGTTTCAATTTCTTGCTTGCTGTTGGGGAAGGCTAATCACGTGACCCTCTGCATCTCACAACATGGCAGCCTGCTTCTTCAAAGGTAGCAGAGAAGAGGGAGAGTCTCTTGGTCATACTAGATCACATGAATTTGTACCCCATTGTTTATGCTAGAATTCTGAATCTTATGGTTGTGTTTGCCTTGCCTCTGTCAATATAAATTCGGTGTTAAGTTTCAGTAATTGCATAATATGTGGATCAGGGAGTTATGCAGTATTTTGACCCTACTTTGAATCCTAATCTATTGCTTTAAGCATGGAATTTACCATCACTAACCAAAATAGCAGGTATCTTTACTAGACTAAGATTGCCAAAACAATACATTTTAGTTATTGAGGGGTAAATCATTCTTTACTGTTTCCTTTCCTTTTTCTTCTGAATATTGCACAAGACAAGGCAATAGGGAGGCACGGATGCTCTTAGAAGCCATGGCTGTCTCCTTTGTCTTCAGATGTGTTCCGTACACTGTCCCTTCTTTCCTGCACAGTTTACTCCCCGTGATGGCTTTGCATCTTCTTGTAGCCGACAGTGACTAGCTTCACAAACAACCTGTGGTTGAGGCCAAAGGCTTTTCCTAAAGGAACATGCAACTGGCAGATACACTAAAATGAGTGCCCATGTTTCAGAATCCATAGAAAAATTTTTGTACCGCAACACATACTAGACTTGCCTTGGACTCCTATGACATCAGATTTTTTCTTTGGCAAAACTGAACAACCTGTAAGCATTCATTGTCAGAGAGTCTCAAGATATTTCTGTTGTTTTTGTTGTAATACGGAAACTAGTGCTGTTTTATTTTAGGTGCATGGCAAAGTGACAGAACACCAATAAAGGTCAAAGCCAAATGTGATGGTAGCTGACTGGGTTAGATTTTCCCACTAAATGTTACCAAGGCTGGGTTCTCCTGGGAGATATCGTGAACTCTTGTGTTGGTGCCAGGATTTTTGTGATCTTGTAAGGTAACTGTAATATTATTTTTACTGATAACTTAGCTAAATAAAAATAAACTACTAATGAACACAAATCAACTTTAATTAAATTAATGGAAAAGTTGTATTTCTATTCCACTAACTCTTTTAGTTCTTTCAAGTGGTTGTCAGCTTTTACATTTTATTTCCGAATGTAGAGACTCCTCCTAACATTCAACTATTGTTCTACCTGCCTGATAAAACGGACTCATCTTTAACCTACATATCCTTCTGAGTAGTTATGCCCGCATTTCCTATTTATTTTAATTTGTCTTGTGCAAAAGTTAAGTCAAAGGCACACAGTTCATATCCTGCAATTTACTAATCAAGAGCTTCTGCCCTTGGCTGACAAAAATAGGCTATTATTAAAAATACAAAGAGGCTCAGATATATACAGTGCATTCAGCTCATTTGAACAATAATATGGAGACTTTTGGTGTCTTCTTTGAGAATTTTTTGCTTACATTTCCTCAATACTGTATATGTTTACATTCTACTTAAGTGACTGCAATAAAAAAAAAATCTCTATTTCCCTCCACTTTTACAGAACTATTAACAATTGAAGAAATGTCCCACATTGCTTTTCCGGACACAGCCTTTGACTTTTTCCCCCTATGCCTTTTGAGAGAATCCGTCATTAATTTCAGATTAAAAATACAGAGACTTTTCTGTTCTCAAAAATGTTTTTACTGCTCCATTTCTAGAGAGGTGGTGTGTAGGGAGCTCGGTGAAGTTGTACTTTTGGAGAAGTAAAACATTTCCCTACAAAAGGAGAAGGAACATTTCCAGGGAACAATGAAAGCCTAGTAAATGTACTTGGATTTTCTTAGCAGCATTCATTCTTTTCACTTGGGAGCCTGCTTTACTCCCCAGCTCGTATGCTCGGCTGCCAGCCATTCTCACGTGCCAACGTCAACCAAATACCTTTCAGCATACTGCAGCTGCTCCAGCCTGGCCATGCCGTCCTTCTTCCTTTCTGCTCTTACAAGGAAGTTATTCACCTCTCCCCACCCCCTGTAACTGGGATATGGATACTCTTGGTTTCCTCTTACCAGCTCTGCCTGAGCTCTTTAGTTGAATCTATTGTTACTCTCGAAAGGACCTTACGTTACGGCCAAGAATGGACAAGAAACGGCTGGGTTAAAAACAACAACAACAATACAATCACCGAACAAAAATAGGAGATGGGACATTGTGTGTGCACGAGAGACATAATTTCTTCACCGTTTACTCCCCACCCCCTTATTTCAGGCATCTCGCAACTTTCAAATGCACATATTGGTAAAGTTTGCTGTGTTTATCACGATTATCCACATTTTGTGAGCTCCTTCGTCACTCTGGTACCATCAGCTGTTCTCTCTGCTGCTTTTTGCCTGGTTTCAGGTAGCTTTTCAAAAGTAACTGGGAAACTAGTGTCTTTTTAACGTCATAATTAAAAATTCTTCTAGTCTTCTAAATAGGAGTTAGCGGTACAAAGAAGATTTAAACATTTTCTTGATCCTTGTATTAAAAAAAAATCTACCTTCTCAAATTCTGTTTAGAAGGTGAGATACTAATAAACACACGCGGACAGTAGACCAGTGCTTCTCATACATTGTTGAGCATCTGAATCACCCGGCATTGACGACTAGGGTTTCAACCCCAGAGATCCTGCCCCAGGCGTTACTAATGCCGCTAGCCCTGGGACTGCCCTTGTGTAGCCCCTACCGTGGGGAGTTCTCTAGCTATTCCTGTACGGATTCTCAACACGTCCCCCAAGTGTAAGGAGCAGCTTGTCTGGCAGTAAGTGTAGAACATTACATAGATGGGCAGAGGAAGGAGAGAGAAGTAGACACAGAGATATAATAGGTCAGTTACAGTGAATAGAACTATTCGAAGGACTTAAAATAATAGTGTCTTAAAGTTCTGTCTTTAAAATTAGTAATTTTCAAAATACGGCATAATTATTGTATTCGGTGTAATAATTAAAAGAGCACCAACTATGTATGTTACAAACTAAACTACCCTTCCATTCTAGTCCCACATCCCCACTTTGTGGAATAAATCACACTTAACATCTTGTTAGCCCGTGTTCGTGAAATATTTGACAGAAGTTGAGATTTCTCCACTAAGAAATACAGGCCAAGTTGCACTTTCATCTACTATTCCATCAATGCCTATTTCTGCATTATTCTCAATAGATATTATCCAAAATTTTACCTGCCAGTCTGATTTGTGAAAAATGGTACCTAGTTTATGTTTTAGCTTGTGTTGTCTGTAATTGAGAGTGACAGGGGTAGAACAATTTTGAGGCGCAAGACTGTAGATAAGCTGTTAGTTTGGGGAAGGTGAATGGATGACTAATTTAGTCTTGACTTTGAGCTTTCTTTTAATCAACAGTAGCTGTTTTCCTTCCTCACTTGAGACTGAGATGGTAGGTCCTTTATGTTGAATCTTGCTTCAAAACTGTTTCACCTGTTTTTAAATGAAAAGAAAGAACAGAGGGTCCTCCCATTGCACCCCATCCTCAGTTTTCACCTGGAAATTCATTTTCATCAGCCTTTCCTGTGGGAAATAAAGGGTGCATGTAGGTTTGCTTATACAGAAAATGGTACAGCTCCCAATTGCAGCTTTTCTTATGGGAAATGACATCTAGTTAAACAACGAGTATAGGAAATTAAGGAAAATTTAAACTATGATGGATATACTAAGGCTGAATTATTCAAGGCCAAATTTTCCTTTGCTTGTTTACTGCTATTCACTTGAAACACACACACACACACACACACACACACACACACACACACACACGACTGCTTTTTGAAATCAAATACATTTCCTGCCTTCTTCTTTCCTCAGTACTCTTACAACCAACCTATTTATAGCCCAGGAAAGGAAAAAGCTCACTGGAGGCAGGAAAACTAAGTTCAGAAAGAATAGGAGGAAGTGAGCCTGCCATTTAGCCAAACAACCTTTAATTCATTGAGCTCAAAGCTTAGCAGCTTCACCGTGGCTGCGAGGTGTAAACAGCTGGCAAATTCCGATTTTTTTCTCTTCACTTTTGAACTGGATTTAGGCAATGAGGGTGATAACCATGTTGTAGAAAAGAAAGCAGGAATCTGAGGTGCTTAGGCACAATGAAGAGAAACTTGCAAACAGTTGATGAGGATGAAAGAAAAAAGCAGCTCAACAGTGGGATGAACTTCAAATGACTGCATGCTTGCAATTAAGGTAAGGGTCGTTGCTAAGTCTGTTGCTGGCGTGTTTTGATGCATTTCATGAACTGTGGCTGTTAGCCACGGATGGTATTTGTAATCCAAGGGAAGATCTAACGCAATGTTGTAGTGAGCTTGCCTATAACTGTGTCTCTGAAGAAATGCAGAAATCAGGCTCAGTTCTCACAGCTTCTGTTCATAACAATACATATATTTTTTTAAATAATTGTCTTCTTAAGATAACTTTATCTCCACTAACTCTCTGCAATTTCAGTTTCATCTGATGATTGTCATCTATCGTATAATTTCACTGATGATAATTTTTGAAAAATATTTTAGCGATATTTCTTCTTTTGAAGTGCTGATCAATGATCTACCTTTTCTCTTATCAATACTAGTTTAAAATCCATTTAACAACTCTTCATGCAAAAACAGACAATTATAGAAAAGTCATTTTAGTTGGATTTAAATTTTGTGTAAAATAAAGATAAAGCTTTGTTTAAAATACAAAAATACTTCCGACCACTCATTTTCAGACAAAGGAGAATCTTCTAGAAACACAAAATAGCAGCCCTGTAGTTTCCAGGGATGAAAACTGTCCACAGTAATTATTTACGTTTAAATTATTATCTCAAAACATTCCTTCAGTGTATATTTCCTGAGTGTTTTTAAAAATGTCCCTGGCTTTGGAAGTGGAAAGGTCGAAAGGAAATGGATTAAATCCAAGAACAGTTGATCGTACCCAAAAAAAACTTGGAAAGCTCCTAGGGACATTCCAGACTCTTCTAACATTCCTCGCCATTAAATGAGCTCGCTGTTAGAATGATGCACCATACATACTTGCATTCCCTGCTGATAATAACCCACGTTTGTGTCGTGGTGTAGCATGATTAATGTAACCACAATGACTAACAAAGGAAAAAAATTCTGTGGGTTTCTGGAAAAGGAAATGTGTTGCTGCTATTTTGGCTCGTCCCTCTGTGAGATTGGTATGCTTAGAATCTGTAGCAAGTAGATGGCAAAGCTGAAAAGGAGAAGATCTGAGCCAGCCAGAACCAGCGTAAAAGCTGACGCTAGGTCCTGGTTCCTTGTGAATCTCACTGGCCTTTCTCATTCCTGGGAGAATTTAAGTGTTATTATTCTTTTTCTGATTAGAAATTCAGAATTAGCTCCATAGATCTTGTAGGAAGGTTTCATAGTTTTATTAGAAAGCACCGTTTCTTAGTTGCACTTATGTTGTAAGAAAGTAGAGGAAAACAAAACAAAACAAAACAAAACTAACCCCGATAAATGTGATTGATCTAAGGAAACAACTCTCAGTACTTACCTTCAGCACTTCAAAGTCAGTTCTGAATCCATTCTATTGTGGAACAGAATGAAATCTAAGGTAACAGACACTCTGTCAGGCTGTGAGGACAGAAACCTGCTGACAATCCTTCTGATTTCTGCTCATGTGGAACTCATCCCCCTTACAGGATTGAAACAACTTTCGTATTTGACACATTCATAGTTTGCCTCATGAAAATAAAAGTTTTATTATGCTTTAAATTTTAAGCAATAGATACATTATTTTAAGACTATGTTTTCTCACTTTTAAAAATCTTAGCATTGGTCACTAATCTCTAGGTGCCCACATATGCTTATTAATACATTTACAAAATGCCAGTTATTTAAAATATATTTTAAAAGAATTATTTAGTAGTTTCACACTTTACTTGATATATGTTTGGCTCCTAAAAGTATTTTAAGTTAGCTAGCTTTGGGAAATATCTGCTGATATGTTTTGCTTTTCTATTAATTAAATAGACATTTATTATCTCATCTCCAATATAATTCCCACAGTCACTGTGTGTTTGCAGTTTACATACAATAGCCACCCTGCCCTCACATTTAAACATAAGTGAAATCAGGTCATGGAAGACATCTTGGGACCAGCAGCAATTTAGATGTCACGGCATATAACCTATGTCTTGCAGGATATGCTGAAGAGGGGTGGGAGGAGTCATGTCAAGCTCGGGAAGCCGCACCCATCTGCCATCTGATGCTGGGAGGGGAGGGAGGATGTTGCATGGTGAATCACCTAAAATTTCCAAGGAATGGTCTCAGGAGATTCCTATTGTCTCTTCACCTCCCTTCACACCGAGCACCAACCCCCGAGCTGTATCGATTGAGTTTTCCTACTTATAATACAATCCCTACTTTTGATCAGCATTGATTACATTCATTTGAAGAAAGGGATTATGTCAGACATAAGGCATCCTATGTATGGAACCAAATTACCAATGTAGATCATGAGTACCAGATAAGGAACCCTGGATCCAGACAGACTTCATGGAGGTACGAGGTTGAGTTGGGCACTGGAGTGCAAGGTATGTGATGGGTGCAGAGAGAGGTGAGAACATCCAAGACAGGAGAGATCTCTCTGAGCAGACACAGAGACAGATGTACGTGGTGAGACCAAGGAATGGGGTTGCCAGATGAGACACAAGATGCCCAGTGGAACGTGAATTTCAGATGACAAATATATTTTAGAGTAAGTGCATCCTACTGCATGGGTGTGTGTGAGGCCCACTGCATAGGTTTACTTATACAAAAATATTATTTATTGCTTACATGAAACTCACATTGACTTGTATTTTGATTTCTTATATCTGGCAACCCTGCCAGGGAAATGAGTCAATCAGCTTGGCAAGAGCAGAGGGATGAAGATGTGGAACAAATGAGAAGCATCTAGAAGAGGCTGGGGTCAGCCTATTGAGACTGGAATGCCAGGCAAGGGAATTAGACTCTAATTTAAAGATGTCCTGGAGCCACCACCGAGAGGTTTTGAAAAGGGAAATGATATGGATAAGATCTGGCCATTTGATACAGATTTGCTGGAGTAAGGAGAACAGGTCACTGAGGTCTGGCTCTTCTGAAAACAGAGAGGAAGAAACCAGAGATTCAGTAGGGAACAAACTGCCCTGCCTTGAAAACTAAGTATGGCCTTGGGAAGAGAAGACATGTTAAAGAGGGAGGTGGGTATTATGGTCCATTCAAGTCAAAGGCCAATCAAAGAGACAGCAGAAGGTAGGGAGTTAATGAGGGAGAGGAAGATTTTGGTCACAGGCTTATTAAATTTGAGGCAATAATGGAATCGTAAGGTAGAAATGGTAAGCTAACAGCTGGAAATGGAAACTACTGTAGCTTAGAAGGGAGGTACAAGGACTGGAAATAATACCAACCTTTGTCGAGCGCTTATTTTTATCTCCTGTCTTAATTTAAATGGAAACTACTGTAGCTTAGAAGGGAGGTACAAGGACTGTAAATAATACCAACCTTTGTCGAGCGCTTATTTTTATCTCCATTGTCTTAATTAGTGCTCAAGGCCACCTATGGGCAGTTTTCATTGCTAGCCACATTTTATAGATGAGAAATAGGAGTTTCAGAGAATATAATTGTCCATGGTTCGTGACTACAAAGCCATGAGAGACAATAGAAAATGGAATCTGGGTGTGCATGGAGCCAAAGCCAAAGCTCTTGCTAATTCCCATACAGGATGTTCAGTAATTTATTCTGCATTCACTTTTTCCATTGGCAAAAATCAAAGTGCATCACATATTTATGCTATAACCCAATTTGTAACTAGATTCCTTGTCTTTTACTGTTCCTAACTTTAGTAGCCCTCGTAGAATTTTGCACCTTTTGGTTAATCTGTCTGAGGAAACAGAAGTAGTTCATACAGGGAGGTTTCTTTTTTATTACTTATTTATTACCTTAATTCTTTTCCCCTCGTTTTTCCTTTCCGCTTGGTTATCTGCTGAAATAAAGGTTATACCCTGAAGAAAGAATGAAAGCAAGAATGGGGTTAAATCTCCTCCTCCTGTCCCTGGCTGCCCTCTACTGGCAATAGCGGCTAACAATGTTCACGTTCATCCAGTTTGGAGACCACACAGGCAGCTTAGCGCTGGGCTGGTTCGCAGAATCACTACAGTTGGCTGCAGCCTCTCAGAGGGTTTGGAGACTGCTTAACGCTAGGAGATTCTGGAAAAAGATTTCATGAGATTACATACGCCTTTGCAGCTGACTGGGCTGAAGACTAGTTTTTTTATCTTTCTAGTTACTAAAACTATGACACTTATTTATCCTTTTTAAAAGGTGTGTAGCAGCTGGGGATGTTGCTCAGTGGTACAGGGCTTGTCTGGCTATAAGGCCCTAGATTTGATCCCTACTACAGCCAAAACAAAGGTGTGTGTGTTTGGTTATTAATTTTTTAACGCACTCACATGTTTTGTTAAGATGATTTTTTGACCTTTCATTCTATGTATGTATTTTAAACTTCACAATATATTTTTAAATGAAAAAGGAAAGTGTACCTTTGGGCATCTATCCAAAACAATCATAGATTCAGACAAAAGAAAAGTTTGTAAAACAATCTTTATTTGTAACAGATACACTTTGTAACTAGCCTGACTATACAAAAGCAGAGGAATTGCTAAATAATATTCTGCAATGTGGAATTTTACATAGTCATGAAATTACATTAAAACATTTAGTAACATTGGAGAGTGCTTGTAGTTAATGGTAAGTGAGAAAATAAGGCTACAAAATTATATCCGTGATGTTATCCCATTTGCATATATGTGTGTGTGTGTGTGTGTGTATTAAGAGCTAAATATTAATATACTAAAATATTAATAGGAATTTCTGGTCGGTAGGATAATGGTGACTTTTACTTTCCACTTTGTCTTCAGGGTAAATAAGCATATACTACTTTATAATCAGGAAGAAAAACATGATAAAAAATATGTTTTTTTTAAAAAGCGGAGAGCTAAGTCTCTGTGCTAATTTCTTGCTGACAATGTTTGTGCTAATTCAGCGCCATTTACAGCCTTCTTGCCCGGTAAAGAGCTATATCCTGTTTGTGACAGCATAATTTATTGTAATGGAAAGGATCATGATGCACTAACCCGGTCTATGACTTCACTGCATTCACTGGCAACAGGAAACAAAGACACACACAAATACTTTTTTCAT